GTGTACACATTCCTCTGGGATCTAGATATTCTTGCATTATTAGATGCCTGGAAGGTTGTATATCTGAATCATTCCTCATTGGCCCCTAAAAGAATCAGCTTTAGTTTTGTAAAGGAAAAAAAAAAGAAAAAGAAAAAGAAAAGAAATCGTATGTTGAGGTTGCTATCATCTATGGTAAGAATGAATCTTCTATTCAAGAAATTGCGAAGAAAGAAAAAGAAATCTGTACTAGTTTTGTTGTCGCACCTCCAACTACAAAAGTTACAACCACAATGTGTGATAGGTGTTTAATTAGGATGGAAAAGGCATTAAATTTGTACAATAAAATATTTTGAGAGACCACATTCACGTAACTTTTATTACAGAATATTGTTGTGACTGTTCTACTGTAGTATTAGTTATGGTTGTTAATCTCTTACTGTGCCTAATTTAAACTTTACCCTAGGTTTGCATGTATAAGAAAAAACATAGTATATATATAGGGTTTTGTACCATTTGTAGTTCCAGGCATCTATGGGGGTCTTGAAGCATATTCCCCAGGGTAAGGGGGGGTCTACTGTAGTCACTCCTATTCTTTAAGCCCTGTCATGATGCTGTGGGCTGCATTCATACCATCCCATTCACCTCTTTTTTCCTCTAGATTCCAAGGATTTATACTAATTGCTTTTCCTCTTCCTAAACACAAACACCCATGTTTTCGTCTCTGACCTCCCCCTTTGTAAGGCAAACGTTGAAACAGGCATATGGTTTGCAACCTCCATTCTGTTCTTGAAACACACACGGACACACATACACGCACACACAAGCTTTCTGTTTTAAGCATTTCACTACTTGTCACTACGAAGAAACACTTGACAATACTTAAAAAATAATGAACACTTGGAAAGTTACAATGGTTCAGAAAATGTCTTTGAATTTCACCCTAACAGTTTTCCTCTTAATGTGTATTAAATGTAATTTCAGTGGGTCCTAGCTTTCTTTCCACTTCCAATTTCTTCACCTTCCATTGAAGGGCCAGGTTTACAGGCTAATTAAGAGCCTAGATTCAAAAATTTCTTTATTTAATGCCAAAAGCAAAAGTAGAATCCTGGTCTTCTGATTTACAGAAGAGTTCTTTCTCTGTTTCACAGACTTATAAATGCCAACTGAGAAACTTACAGGTGTTCTTGATGCTACGGAACTTTGGTTACTTTCCAGACAAGTCATCACAACAATAAAAACACTTAATAAAAAATAATTCATCGTTTATTGTAAGAGGTCATCTCTACGGAATCTGAAATTTTATTGCTTCTAACACAAAACATATAGAAGCTTTTAAACATAAAAAAATTAATACAGGGAAATAATGTCTAGTTTTCATGTTCTGACGAAAACTTCATCAAACTGACTTTCTAAATTAAGACATAATATGAAACTTAAAAAAAAATTTAAAAACTAGTACAAGGATCCACATATGTACTCAGATTCCAAAAAAGGTTATCATTATATTTACATTATTTCCATCCTCTCTCTCTCCATACACACAGACACACACAAACATACACATTTTTTCAAAACCAGAATAAGTAGCAGACATGATGAGTTCGGACATAACACCCCTTTTCCTTAGTTAGAGTGCGTTTTCTAAAAATAAGGGCACCCCTTACACAACTACAACATAGCTATCAAAACTAAGAAATTAACATTGATACAATACTATTATCTAATCTGCAGACATACTCTACGTTTTAGTAATTATTCCAGTAATGTCCTTTACAGCAAAATGGAAAAAAAAAAACTCCAGGATTATACACTGCATAAAGCTATTTCTGTTTGGTTTGGCTTCCATTCATCTAGAATGTTTCCTGAGTCATGCTTTGTATTCCAGGACAGTAATGTTTTTGAAGATTTTAGGCCTGGTATTTTGCAGAACATCCATCATTGAGTTTGTTTCCTTCCCAGTAGATTCAGGTTATGAATTTGGGGCAGGACTAACTCAGAGATGTTTTGTTCTTCCCAATAGATCATATTGTGGGGCACCTGCTGTGCATTTGTCTCATTAGCAGCAAACTCAATTTTGATCATTTGATTGAAAGTGGTGCCTGCTAGATTACTCAAGTGCAAAGTTAAACTTACCTAACTAACTGAGGGTTGGGCGGAAGCGGTACTTTGTGATTATATAAATACCTTTGGGGACAGGGAGGAGGGACACTTTGTGATTATAAATATCCTGTTACTCCTCAAATTTTAACTTGCTAGTTTTAACATCCATGGATGATTCTT